AGGGATAAATCTGTGCTATCATTCAGGTAATTCAGAGCTTGTTCTTTGTGGATGACTCTGCTGGTGTATACACTTAAATATATTTTTTAATTATCTTAATTTTAATTGGTAGTTTTCTTTGTCCCTTTTGTATAAAATTTCTGGCTTGGGAACATTTCTATTTGAATTCTAATTTCTTTTTTTACTGTATTTTCTAAATTTGCCGAGTTTAAGTTGTGTCATGGAATTGTATCTTACTGGGCATCCACAATGCTGTCGTGGTGGAAGTCTGTGTCCTGCTAATCTTCTTAAAGCATTTACAGGTGGCTTAATGCCAGACTCTCGAGTTTTGTTATGAACTCCTTTTAGTTGTTTTTCTCTCACCACTGTCAAATCATCTTGAGCTTCATTCCTTTTGTACAGCCACTGAAGAACCTGAAGTCAAGAGATGTGGACTCCAGACTCTTTCTGTGTTAAAATAATTGCTAGAAAGGCCAACCTGTAAAAATATCACAGTTACTAGGGGCAGCTGGCAACTCTCAGAACATTTTCCACAGAGCCGGGTTCACCAGCCACAGACCTGCTTCATTTTTTTGAATTTTCATTCTCCCAAATAACGTACCTTTCAGAGAAAAAGTCTGCAGATAAACTAGGCTGTGTAGGAGCAGCAGAGTTGTCATGTTGCTCTGTAAGGGGCTCTTCTTAAAGAACAGCTGTTGTCAGATCTCTAGCTGAAAATTCACAAATGTGAGAAATAAGAAGTTTCTATATAGAGAAACTCTTTTATGTTTTCCTGGCTTTTCTGGGCTTTTTTGTTAGCACTGAGAAACATTTAACTGGTTGTCTCATCTTGGTTTACTGCCTTCAGGGTTTGAAGTCCATTTTCATATTAATACATAAGCTAGTAGTTATTTCTGTAATAAGACCACTCAAACAAAAAGAAGTATTTTATGTTACAGAGAAGTTAATGTAACCTAGAATAAAAATTGTATTAAAGGGAGATTGATGTGAATTCAAGTACCAGAACAGAAATAAATGCATACAGTGTTAGGTAAGTACCTAAAATATGGAGTGTTTTTCCAGCAATAATTAGGTTATTATTTTTATAACTTAAACCTTTGAATAGTTTTTCACTGCCTGCTGACCAGGTGTATGTATATCCTTTTTCTTGACAAGTATGTTTTCTATTCCAATTTGCAGCTGAATCCTAAAAGCAAGTCATCCTTTCTGTTGATGAGCTCTTTAGCTCTGTTTTTCTTTTGGGTATAATTTGCCTGAAGAGTATTCCCTTGTCTGTGCAGTGTTGCTTTCCACGTGTACCTTCCTGTGCCCAGACATAGGCTGTGGGATGCACAGCTGAGAGCTTTCTTGCACTTAAGTACCAACCAGCATAGTTCTGCGTTGCATATTATGTCAATACAGGAAGTTATTCTAAAATAGTTGCGTTTTAAATTCAGACCCAAGCTTGTTTTCCACTGCCTTTTTCACTTCCTTTGCAGGCCGGTGTTGATTTAACTCTATTATACTGCTAAGGAAATGTTAAGGAAACTTGGTGTAATGTTACCTTCTGTTTGTTTCCTTGCGTTCTATATTTAGGCTCACAATAGGGGAGACCAGTAGCAGTGGCTCTAAGTAGACTAACACAACATAGTTTCCAAAAATAAGACTTTTTTTGTGACAGCTTTACTTTTTAGTGTGAAGAAGCTCGAGAGAGAGCTGTGTGGCTCATAAAAGAGGAAATTCCATGTCTTGGGACTTTGGTTTCCTGCAGTACAAGCTTGGAAAACTCATTTTTACATCTCTCGTTCGTAAAGCTGGAGGAAGAGCAGACGAAATGCTGCCGTTCCAGCTGGGAGAGCTGGACCACTGCTGCAGCAGCCGGAGCGCGAGTACCTGTCCCTGTCCGTGCTGGAGGGAAAGTTGTAGTCGGGAAAGGGAAGAGAGGGGGAGAGGAGCAGTCTGAACCTCATCCCAATTTGGGAACATCACATGGGGTAAATGCTCTTTCAGATATCAAGGGCAGAGGCAGAGATTAGGGCAAATTCAGCACCAGACAGAAAGGCTTATTTCTCTCCCAGCTCAGGGTAAGACAGCACCTACCAGCTAATATACTTAGTGCTCTTTGAGAAATAGCAGTCTTGTTGCTGCACCAAAGGCTTGTATTTTAAGTCAGGTGGATAGTAGGTACAGTGGGGGGTAATTACTTCTGCATACAGTATAACTTGCGTTTCTATAAAAAGCTTGGGGTTTATATTTTTAACTGCATTTGAAAAATACTTTTTTTTAACTTGAACTAACAAAAGCTCAGCCATTATGTCAAAAAGGAAGCTACAAATTTATCATTATCTTTCTATCATAAATCTTACTCCCAAAACATGCATGTCTTACAGAATAACCACTGAGCGAACACGTTTTTATTCACAAGCTTCCTGTGCTTAATTTAGTGCACAGGGTGATGCACGACTTGCCTTGAAAGTCTTATTCCTTATCAATGTCCTATTCTACAACTTGATCTTCTACATGAGATTTGAGTATGTTGAGGTGGATTTTTTTTCCCACATTTGCATACCAACATGAGCATATTTTAGCTGATGATCAACATATCAACACCTATGAGTGGGCTGAGCATGGACATCTTTTGCATAAGGCCCCGAGAGGCAGACTGGTTACTGCTGAGCTAGGGCAGTTGTGGAGGAACTGCAAGTGTAGGGTGTGATGAGAGAGCCATTTCTGCTGAAAGCAACGTTGTTTTGTGGCCGCCTTAAAAGGACTGGACAGCATCAGAATCCCAAGAAGCTGAATACGGAGAATATGCACTTGCTGTGAGGAGTGTAAAGTGGCAGTTTTTAAGAGAGCACCCAACATAACCACGGGAAAGTTTGTTACATAATTATTACTTTGCATTTGAAAATAATTTGTGTGTGAAGAACATGTTAATTTGTGTGTGTGTGTGTTTCTTGTTCTTTTTACCTTATGTGATGCTTCTAAGGTAATGTGCCTACATGATCACTTTGTGCCCATGCATCTGAATAGGTAACAAAAATAGAGGTAGTCCTATTTCCTTTTTTTTTTTTTTTTCTTTTTCTCCCTTGCAGGATTGTCACCAATAGATAAAGCAGTTGGCAAGGAATAGATCAAAGTACCCAAAGACATAAGTACTCAGCAACCTGTTCTACTGTGCTCTTCCTCTCCTGGGATTCTCCAAGATTGTAATTAGTGGATTTAGTAGAGTGTAATCCAGTTGATCGTGTTCTACTTTAAAAGATAAAAATGTGAAGGTCTGTCAGCAACTAATTCCATTGACAAGTGGAAGGCGCCAGGATTTTATTCATACTTTATAAAGATTCAGGTTTCAATCAATAGTAGGAGCATTCACACTTTTTTTTCCTCTTGATTAAAAGACAGGTTTCTGGATGGAAGCCTTTTTATTATTTCTGTTAGTTTAATTATGTTATTTCTGATAACAGAAATAATACACAGCAGGCATACATGCACACGTGTACAAATTTTTGGTCTTAAAATACCCAAGGAATAAAGCTTACATTAAAATCACTAAAATGTATATTTTTTCTTTTCTTTTCTTTTTAAACGTTTGGATTTTAAAAGTCATCTGGGTGCACAGGTGTTTTCTTCGAAGAACATTTTTGAATTCTGTGTGTGTGGGCACGGCAGGGTGCTCGGGATTTGTCCCGTCTGGTTTGTTTCCAGTTCGGATTGCTGCGAAGTTTAGAATCTCTTGAAAGAGAAATGTTTATCAGGAAGAAGCCTGTGTTTGAAAATAGAGGCACTTATGGAGAGCTGCTGCTCACTTAAACTGGTACTGAAGTGATCGTGTTGCCAAAGGATACGTTCAGCAAAAAAACCTGCACACAAATACTCGCTGAACCCTGGAAAAATATTTAAATTAGTGCTGCAGAAGCACTGCTCCTTCTCCCTCACCTCTAACATTAAACACTCTGTATTTTACTGAATACAGATCTGCGAGTTGTTCAGTAATTGAATAATAAAATTTTAAACTTTTGTCACTGCAGCCTGTAAGAAAAACAAGAGGAGGGCACACAAAAGGTTGAAATTGCGTTTAGCTCATTTGTGCTACGTTTTAATATGTTAACTTGAAGACAGTGCTGCTTAGGATGAATCATGAGTAATGCCTCAATAATTCTTCAGATATTTTGTAGTGAATGTGGTGTTGGACTTCCTTTCTAGTTGCTGCTGAGTTCTGTAATTCTTTCCTTGTGCAACAGGAACATTGATTTTTTTTTTAATGAGATGTTTATATTTTGTCTAAAATTAATGATAAGGTAAATATAGAATTAAGTGAATAGCACAAAAACATGAGAAGATCACTGTCTTTAAAAAAAAAAAAAAATGCCGCTTTTACAGAATAGACTCTCCAGGAATTGAGGGACAATGAGATTTTTCCCTCACCAGAATTTTCTGAGAGCCAGTAGAGAATTTGCTGGGCTTTTTGCTTTTTTGGTAAATGTGTGGAGCCCTAGGCCCTAGATCATTTTCTGAACGTGAGTACCAGCATCCCTGCCTCATCATCTTCGTCATTCAAGTATTAAAAAAGAGAGTTTTCCTAAGAGATCTCATTGTTTTGATAGATATGAGCTGTGCTTTAGGAGGACTGACTTCTTCAAGAGATTTAAACAAAAACTTCCAGCAGTGGGTTGTGAATATGGAACTGAGATTGTGAACCAAAATGCATGGACCTGAGGAGAAGGAATGGGGAATTGCTGACTTGAATACAACACTGCATTCTTGTCTGGATTCTAATGCATACTTAAAACATCAGGTCACGTAGTAACTAAACTCATACTACCTTTTGTAACAGATATAATATATTTTTTATAAGCATCCTAATCCTGGGGATAATGTTGCTCAATATTTTTTAGCTGCTCTTGGAAATTTGTCATTGGATTCAGTGGCCTTTGCACTTTTCAACCTATTATGAGTTTATAACCATTTTAGGCAAGTACATCACTGACCTACTCTTCATTATGTTTTTCCTCTGTCAGGAAGAAGAAACTATCAAAGAAATTGCAATAACTCATCATGTAAAGGAAGGACATGAGAAAGCAGATCCTTCACAATTTGAACTTCTGAAAGTGCTAGGGCAAGGATCCTTTGGGAAGGTTGGTGACTGAACTCCTTGCAGAGAAAGCATTTCAGAATCTAGTATAGAATAGTATTAAGAGTGATTTTTTTTTAAAAAACAGCCACAATCTTGCATTCCAGCAATGTTAAGAGTCAGAACTACTTTCTAAATTAGCAATAACTATCCTCTGCATTGTGGCAGAACATTTTAAAGTGGTACACCTATTCCAGTTGTCCTGTTGGTAGTTTTTAAAGATCCATTAAAAAATTGATATCACATAAATGCCCTTCACCCTTAAAGAAGGACGTGTTGATTTTTTTCTATACCTGTTAATCTCTGTGTTTGAGATTAGTTTGAAACACATTAAAATGTAATAAACTTAGTAATAATAACTGAGATATACATAAAAACATAATACAGTTGCTAACTTGCAAATGGTGGGTTATTGCCCGTACAAAACTGCAGGATGAATGTATTTTTTTTGTAATGGATTATAACTGTAAATAATGGATTTTAGCCAATTGTCATTTCATTAAACATGATATAGGCCAGTGCTGTTATGTTAGGCATTTTCTGTCATAATTTGGGTAAGACACAAACTGTCTTGATTTTAGTGGGTGTTTCTGCAGTGACTTTTCTCTAGTTATGTATCATCCTCTCTAGTTGTGTATCATCAACTTTTGGCTGTTCAAATCCAACTTAAAGCATTAATTTGATGTGCAGAGAGGTTATTGAGGAACAATGCAATATGCCATGTAAGCAAATGCAGCCTTACATTAAAGTCTTAAATGCAAAATGTTGCACACCTGTATTTAAAACCAAACCAGTCTTCCACATGGGGAAGATGACAATAGTGTCCAATCCTGTCTTAGTGATAGGAAGTTATCGGTAGTCATCATATTGGAGTAGCAGTTCCAATTAATATTAGAAAGCTGGATATTTAAAAACTCTTAAATTTTACTCTTAAACTAGTAAGCATTCACTGAAAAGCTTTAGTTGCTTTAGCCTTTATACAAAAAGGAATAATATTGCAAAAAATGGGAATCCATTTCTTTCTTATAATTTGGGAAGATCTCACTCCTCTTTGAAGTGTAAGGAGACTGTCTTGCATGCTTTTCAAGGCTTCTTGGTACTGTTCTGGTAATACAAAGGAATGTTAACGAAAGTGCAAATTGCATTTTAAAAAAGCTACAGATAAGACTCATGTAATAGAACACTTGTTCAGTGTTTACATTTACCATGTCTCCTTCATTTTTCCTTAAATAATCAGAAAAACTGTGACATCTATATTTTACTTTCTTCATTACTAAATCTAAAATTTAGCTCTTCTGGAATTCATTTTAGATTAAAGATATTAAAGTCAATCCCACTCAAGAAATCCTATTACACTAGAAAAGGAAATGAAACTCATTTTACTGGAGTCTGGTTTTACTTTATTGGTACATATAAAACTCAACCATAGCATATCAAAAAGGTATATTTTTGTAATATAAGAGGTTGATTCTTATGATTTTATAGTTTTTTTGTTTTGATTTTTAATCAGGATTTTGCATCTTGAATTGCTTGTTTGAACTGTTTGACTTGCATTGATTTATCTATTTTTTCAAATAGCTTTTATAAAATAGCTTTTTCAAATAGCTTTCATTTCTGACAATTGTTTTATTAGCGCTTTTGCTGTGTCTTCTCGTTTATTTTAATAGGATATAACTATAGAGATTTATATTTGAGAGATTTATAGTAATATTCTGTGTTTTACTGTTTAAAGGATTTTTTTAACAGAGGAAGATTAGCAAGTTGAATTTCATGTTTCAAGTAAATTTGTCTTAATTCTGAGAGAATTGAAATTCATCCTTTTATTCATTGAAATCAATTAAGCAAAATTGGAAGTTAACTGACTTTAATCTGACTTTATTTTCTTTTACAAATTCTTTTTCAATGCAGGTATTTCTTGTCAAAAAAATCTCAGGATCAGATGCTAGACAGCTTTATGCAATGAAGGTATTAAAAAAGGCCACCTTGAAAGGTAAGTAGTGTTCACAGCAAGAAAGTGGAAAGTGAAAGAAATCATACCAAAACTTGATTTTTACACACAGGCTTTTCAAAAGGTCGTATCATAGAGCTTACTGTTAACAAACAGCAAATAGCAGAGCTTACTGCTTTATTTTGTAAATCCAGAGGTTTTTAGTGCTCAGAAATATTACATTCATAGGGTGACATGGGAAAATAGGGTCTTTTCTGTTTTAAATCTGTTAGGTCCCTTTCATTGTTGGTAGCAGAATGTTTTTACTAGGGTAGCTGTGTTATGTCTGCCAGCTGACTTGCTCCTGTGTTGAAACTTAATATCCTTCCTTTTTTTTATTTGCTGTATATCACTAAGGATACAGTTCCTGCCTCTTGCTCAGTTTAAATTTAGGTCATGATATTTACAAGGACATTATATCAGCTGTTTTATTATGAAAGCTCTTAGCACAGGAGTTTTACCTCTTTTATATCGCAGTATACTGCACATTTTCTGAAAACTTTGACACTTGCTCTGAATGTAAAATATATTTCATGAAAGTTTAAGGCAATCTTCTTATTCACTTGAGCAAAAATCAATTTTAAAATGAGTCCTTAAAATGTTATTTTCTTGGGTGTTTGAGTGTATCAGTAAATAAATGAAGTTCACACCTGAAAAATCTCAGTTCTTGTCCTGTAGTTCTAGAATAAGAAAAATGAAAAAAAATGTATATTTTCAATTAGAATTTAAAATGAAAGGGATCTTTTACACTGTAATCCCCCAACTGCAGCATATAAAACAAGGGAATAAAATATATATGTATTCTTTTTTATTTGAGATGATTTGTAGTTCTTTAAAGTAATTTGTGGCTGCATTTGGAATTGCAATTATAGTTTTCCCGGTTAAGAACTAGTGTCGTAGAATGCTTAAGGTTGGAAGTGTCGATTATCTATTTTGCAGATCTCATTATGCTTCACTGTTATTTAAAACCACTAGAGAAGGTTTTGAGTGTTTTTGAAGAGTTTCATACATCTTGGTGTTTTGCGGCAGGGGTTATTTACATTATTTGCTTCCCAGCTTTTTGAAATTTCATTTCTTCCCCAAGGCTCTTAGTAGCTGGAGTCAAAGGTCGCTCAGCAATTGCTCTGTGAGATGTTTGAGGGCTTTTCTCCATCACCTCTTGATGGTCTTCTAGTCTTATGCATGGAAATTCCAGCACAAACTGTGGATCAGTTTGTGGATGTGGAGACTGATAAATACCCCCTGAAACTGCGGGCATGACTTTCGGTTAGAAAAGTAGATGCTTCAGTATATGAAGAATTCAAGAATGCAAAAGGCATGAGCAGAAAGGTGTCACTAACAGAGCATTCCGCATTTCCCAACACCTTGTGTCTGAATGTTCTGATGCTTTTGAACATGGTTGTTTCAGATCACGCTTTAAGAAAAGAACTTGCAGACAAATAAAGGTTACTGGTGGAGTCTTAACATAAAAATAATTAAAATTCATTATTCTTCCCAATGGGAAAAACTAGGAAAATATTTTAAAGATCTTAAACTGTAATTTTAAATAATATACTGCATTACATGTTTTGTTTGGATCTTTAGCTCTTTTAAATCTATTCTGGAAATTATTTTTGTGATGTAACAAGTTAAAAGTACCCTGTAGGACTGCTTGTTAATTGAAGGTAATGTCTATGATTCTCAAAGCAAATTTACGGAGAAATTCTTGTAACAGCCAGAACACATAGACGCAACTAAACAGTTCAGCCTTTTAATATTTAGAGCACATTGAAGACTACACACAACAATTTTGTTAAGGGAAGACACCAGTTTATTAATATACTGGGAAAGGAGGTATCATCTCTCAAAGCCCCTGTACAAGAGATGGAAAGAAACAGAGCTAAATCATTGCTAGAGAGTCAGGCATCAAGCGTGTTAAGAAGGAAATTAAAAATGAGCAGGCTCAGTTCATTAGACAAAGCAATCATTTCCACCCCCATTAAGAAATCCCTGTGGAACGTAGCAGTCTCCTGGTGTATACTGCAACCCCAGCATTTGTAATTGGCCAAAATATATGAAAAAGAGTTCTCACTGCTAAACCAATCTGTTACGTCCGCGTCTGCAAAAGTTTTAAGTCAGCTTTGGCAAATGCTGTCTGAAATGTACTCGTTTCCATGTATGTCTTCATTTGAAATTCTGTGGATTTGAAGGTTTTCTGTTTTTTTAATACGAGGTTTTGTTATCCGTGTCTGCTTCATTAGCTATATGCACTTCATTTTCTTTTCCCTGAAATCAATCTGCCCCAAAAAGGAATATTCCAAAATTAAATATTGTTGTTCAAGTGAACCTTTGGAATAGGGAGATCGCCTGAGTGCCTTGTGCCAGTTTTATGACATCAGATGTTAATGTCAAAATTCAAATGTGATATTTGCTCTGTATTTAATGAGGCACTTTCTTTTACATGCCTTCATTTTAAAGATCTTATGTTCAGCACAGATATGGAAAGTTGATAGGTTTATTCCTTCATGAAAATTTTTCTGTATTACTAAATATCTCTATTATAAGTAGCTATTTCTGGAAAGAAAAGCTACATTTCTAAAAGATCCTTTTATTTCTCGACTCTTTTCTTTTTTTTTCTGTTTTGTTACATGATAAACCTGAACTCCAGCTTGTTTACTGTCCAAAGTGTGGTGGCAGCTTAAACTTTGAACTGGACTTCATGTATTTCACTTGAGTGCTCTTGTAAGCAAAATAGTTTTGACTCAGTTAACAAAAACTTTTACTTACAGATTCAGGTCTTAAAAAACAAAGAAAATGGACAATTACAGGAATG